CAGTAGCGACACGAACTGCCTCAGCATGCTCCGGACGACCTGGTGTAAAGGGTCTTCGTTTCTTCTTACTCCGGGGTTGAACGGATCTCCAACTGGAAGAAGACTCAACAGCATGATTGAAAACGTTTGGTTGATCGTCAAAACGAACTCTTTGCGTAACAAAATTGTCAATGTTTTCTGTGTTGTCAAAATCGGTGCACATAGTGTTTGATGCGGAAAGGACTGGCATGGCCACGCTTCCCAGCGGGCGAGTGATGAGGACGGAGGATCCCTGAGAGACCACTGCGGCCATGACCACTGCTCGAAGGAGGCATACCGCTGCCGGTGCATTGGAAGAGGAAGACTTCCCACCTTTTCTCCTCTGACTCTCAGAGCCAGTTGAGTTGTCGGAGCCTGATGATCCTCGTGAGCTGCTTCGCTTGCGAGGTTTCTGGTCTTTCTTCTTCTTCTTTTTGTCCTCTTTCTTCGCAGGGACAGTCTTTTCAGGGTGTTGGAATGCGCAGTCTTTTCCTCGGTGGCAATGTCCTGCCTTCCAAAACTTGCAAGTCTCCTTGCGAGATCCTGGTGTCAGCGATCTTGACCGAGATTGGCTGCGATCCTTGCCCTTTCCCTTTCCTTTGCTTTTCTCGCGGCCTTTTTCGTGCTTGTAAGGACATGATGATCCGCGCTTGCATTTTCCGGTCTTTTGAAACTCGTAGCAGATGCCTTTCTTCTCCTCCGGAGCTGGCATGGTTGTGTCTTTGGACCCGAGCGAACGCTTCGTGGCGTCGCGCATCTTTTCCAACCTTCTCCGTTCGAGGTAGGCCCGGGCAGCAGTGATCAGGAAGTCGTACGTTCTTTCTTTGCTTCCATCGGCTGCACGGTCGTACAAGGCCAAATCATGCTCAAGTGGCTTGAAACGTTTCACTGCCAGGTGGAAATAGGCTTCCAGAACACTATTTTCTGGTTCCTTTTTCATTCCGGCAAGAACGCTATCCCATTTATTTATAAAGCCCTTGAGGTCATCGTTGACCATTTTGACGGACATGAGGTCTTCGAGTCCGTAGATTGCTCCATGCTTGATGCTTGTGGCAAAATACTCGTGGAACCGAAGGAGCAAGTGCCTACCCTTCACGTTCTTGTCTTCATGAGCACGCAACTCCTTGAATGTAGCAATCTGCCGACCGAGGTCCCCCTCAGCGCAATTGGTTAAGCTTGCAAGAAGCTTTGCGTCGAGGGTTGCGAATCCCTCTGAATCATCCAAGGCATCAATGGTTTGGGAATCTTTGTATACTTTCCCAACCCAAGATCTCGCTTCATCCGGCTTCGCTGAAGCTGCAGCAATATTGTCCCTCACCTTGATCTTCCAGTCTCTGTACTTCTCAGGTGTGGGGAACTTGGGAATGAGAATTTTGTCAGCCTCTTTGGCTTTACTCTCATGATCCTTGTCTTTCGACTTCCTTTGCTGCTTCTTCAGCTCTTTGCGAATGATGCGTGCAAGACGCGATGATTCAGAGCTTGAGTCATTTGAGTCATCACTCCCTCCTGATGAACTGGGTGACGAGGGTGATGGGGAAGGAGAGCGTTTCTTTCTGCGCTCCCTCGAACGGCCCCTCTTAGGGCTCTTCTCTTTCTTCTTATCCTTACCCTTCTTCTTCTTGTCTTTCTTTGATTTGTCACCACCCTCTTCATCGGCATCGGATGGATGAGGCTCATCACCGCCTTCGATCCCGGGCTTCTCCAACTGAGTGCGAAGGCTCGCTGGAGGCAAAGCTGGGGACACCTGAGACCCAAGTGGCTGCATTGATGGTGCAGGCGCTCGGTTCCCCGAGGCGTTGTCAAACCTCTCTCTCAACTCCTTGATGATTCGACTCTGTTCTGCTAACTCTGACCGAAGTGCATCCTCTCTTTGCTTGGCAGAGGCGCGTTCGTTCTCAACGACGGCGTGTCGTTCGAGCGAAAGGCGATCTAGGTAAGCCCGTTGTTCATGAAGATGTTGATTTTGATGGGCTTGGTTCATGTCACTCAATCGTTGATTGGCTAAAGCCTCAATTTGTTCCCTAGACTCCTGGACAGCCACTTTAGCTTGGTTCTCCACTAAGTCTCTAAAATGCCTAGCATCCTCTGCTACTTGTTGCCCGTGTTCGGCCAAAATGGCCTGATGCCGCAACTCCGCGATCTGAGCTACCTGAGCTGACCTGTCCTCATTGACGAAGACTGCTTGTTGATGGATCTGTCTTGCATCAACGTTCTGGACATTCATCACAGGAGAAAACTCAGGTTGAAACGGCGACGGGGCTTGACCACTAGGCAACAGGTCCCCCTGTGCACTGAACGTCGGTGGCCCAATTGGTACACGCAACTCCAGCGGAACGACAGGGAGATCAGTAGCAGGTGAACTGGACATCGCAGGCGAAGTAGGAACGTAGCCTGAGCGTGAGCGGCCACCACGGGAACCATCATCATCAGCCATGGCCTCTAGATAGTGCACTACCTATGGTGGGGTGAGACCACAGCTAGTAGAAAGCACGTACCGCACTTATGGCGATACGGCTGATAACCTGTAGTTACAGGTAAACGACCGAGAACTACCAACAAGTCGCACCTGGTTTTCCTTGAGCCAAACGGTAGGTAAGTGAGACATGTATTCGACATCCTAGCGTGAAACAACACTTAGTCTATAGTATATTATATATACATTGTATATGCACAATGGGAAAGAGCTAGCAACAGTGATCAAGGTTAAGGATGCTAGCTGCTAACACTATCAGTCACAAGACGTCATGTTCCTCTACCACTGGGGTTTTGGAAAGCGACTATAGTAGATGATTGACACCAAAGCCAAGTAACGAAGCGCTCTCTCTCTCTCTCTCGTCATTAAGATCACAAGACCTCCCTCTTGAGCGGAAAGTTTGATGTTCAATACAGCGCTGTAAGTGCTGTTTTGATCTCTGAAAAGCTACCACCCCAATTGCACAACATCCTTAACAACAATTCCCACAACAAGCTCCTTTTCCATGTGTTTTCCTTTCCCCCACTCTCCAACTCCAATGCGCCATTTCCCACGTGATCTCAGCTTTGTCACGGCTGAGCGGTACTGGTGCTGGCTCACAAGTTGTTGACATCACTTGCCAAACATATGCCACCAACTGTTCAAACTCATTCTGACTCCCACCCGCAAACCCAGCAAACGGTACCCCTAAATAGAGCTTCTGACGACAAGAAACAAATTCAAGAGAGACTGGATGCAAGGGTCGCCCATGAAGTCTTCCTGTCGGGCGAGAGTCGGCTAACTATGGTCAGATGGTGAAATAACGAAGATGATGAGGCCGAAGCACTCTGGTCAAAAATATTGTCTGGTCATGAAGAAAATGAAAGCAAACTGGCAGTTTTTTCCAGTCGTTCATGCCGTTGACTCCAATTCCAATTGCTCCATTCGCATCACAGGAGACGTTGAACAATTCCTTCAGCCACATATCTCCTTAAAGACTTCCGTCAATGGGTCCTCCGCTTCCGTAAGTTGTCTCGTCTTCCAACAAATCGGTCTCTAGGCGTCCATAGCTGCAAATCGATGGGTGAACCCACCTGGCAGGCACCTAAGTCTGCCGCAGAGGCCAGCAAGTCATCGGCCCACTTCTCAGGTCCTTCGCGGACCAAAAAGGTCCGAATCGACGAATCGAATCTCATCCATCAACCTTCAGCTGTACCTCTTTTTTCCAGTTATTTTTTCTTCTCCAAAGGTTGTGCGAGGTGAAGAAGCCGGACAACTCCCAGGTTGTGGGTGTGATATGTATAAACATGCGCGAGTACATTTGTGTGCATCCTAGAGCCCAAAACGATCCAAAACGATCGTCTTTGATGTCTTTTGGTTAGACTTCTTTTTTAAAGGGACATCTCTAGGGACCATACAGCGACATGCCGGGGTGCGCCGAGGGAGGGAGGTTTTTTCGACACCATCCAACACCCTTACACAATGAAGAACCACCAACCATCAATGACCAGCGGAACCTCACATGACCAATCATGGATTCCATGGTGCGCCCGCCTGCCGTGAGCACTTCCCCTGGAGGAGCGTTCTTGCAGCTGGAAAAGCCACGGCTCTCCAGCTCACTCGCGCTCCCTGCCCACGGGCCAGAAGAACCAAAGGCATACCAAAGGCTACACCTGCACCTCTTTGGTGCAACCATGAAGTGTGCACCCCTGGAACATGGAGGCATTTTGGCACATGTGGACATGGCCTCGGACAGGCATGTGTCATTATGTGTGGTTGTACCTAACCAGTTGAGGGCTTCCAAGAACTCTGCACGGCAGTATACTACATGTTGTTTACATTTCTGGTCGTACTACTCAGACTTGATGATCATCCTAGAGCAAATTCTCCCAGGAACAACTTGAGACATCAACATCTCGAGGAACATCGCATGAAAAAGGATCACGACCATGCCACTTAAGAATTCCGCTGAGACACACCACCGTTCAACCTGATACTGTTGGACATATGATGAGATGTGATTCTTCACAGGCAAAACACCCAGAGATGCGGACGTGATGGACTCGGACGACCGGAAGCACTGGGGGAGTCGCAGGTGGTGAGTCAGTCATTGAACATGCAAACGGCTGGTGTGATCTTGTGTGGCATCCTGGTTGATCAATGTTGATCAAACATGCTTAACTCTAGCATACTCTAGCTCAGCATGTCTGAAAGCAAAGCTTGGCAAAGCTTACGTTACATGGTAGTACCCAAACAGGATCAAATAGGCTATTTGTGGGAAATCAGTGAGTGCCATCTGCTTCCTTGTCCCTGCTGGACAACCGTCGTACTCCACTTGAACGCGATCCAACATAGGGCATCTGGACAAGGATTTGCTTGAAACCCCAGCTGCACCCGGCAAAAGACTTTTGGCTGATGCAACGCTGCAATCCTGCCAACTCATGAAACGTATAGTCTGAGTTTGCTTAGCCTTCCCCAAAGAGATCTGCTGCAATAGGTGCCTGATTCCAGGAAATTCCTTGCACATCACTTGAGAGGTCCTGCTTTGGGGATGGCTCGCTAAAGAGATCCTAGCAACGTCATCGAAATCCACGGTCGTCCTTGGAAAAGGATGGTTTGGATGCCTCAACGACCAATTGTCGAACGGAATGTCTCAAAATTGAAGGGGCCCGGGCGGCAATTGATGTTCGATTATTTTTTGCATGGAAGACATGCGGAAACATGCGGAAACAAAACTAAGAGTCCGTGATGGAGTAAAAATGAGCAAAGCGTAAAGAACAGTCAAGCGGCGATGGCTTCAGTAAGTCTGCAGCAAGTGAAATAGGCTTTGATGAACACCCACTCTTACACCTCTGATCTCTTTGCCGTTTCTGGATGATGAGGCTGAGAAGCGGCTTATTGAGACATGTTGCAGTCTTGGTTCAACCAAACTGTTGCATGTATATACAGTATGGAATATGTCCGAAAGATATAGATGTAACAGCTCTTTGCGAGAATATTCCACCATAAAACTGTAACGATGCGTTTTCCAAATCAATCCTGCGGATGTATATATGAGCACTCCTTGTCCCATCAAAAACATAACGAAAAAGTCAAGGTTAACTTCCAGCTATACACACGCTTTCGGTTTACAAATGCTCATTGGCAATCTACAGTATGACTTTGGCGCTTAAGAGTGTAACATTGTCTATGTGTAGGGCCTCCATGACTTTGGGTTTACAAACATTCACGTCAATGCATCAGCTCATCAGCCCCTCAGGTAGCTGCGAGGGTGTCATCCTTCTTTTGAGCCGCTTCACGCTCCTCAAATGAGAAACCAACACACCCTCCAAACATGGAGGTTCAAGGTGTTTAAGCAATTTGGTACAGCCGTGGAGCGGTACGCAGCGGTACGGCATTGATAGACCCAAATAAAAACTGGTAGCCCCAAACATGGTGTGGGACACCACCATACAATCATGTAAACGCACCTTACCGTCCTTACCAGCCTTACGTTGTTTTGGCCCCTTTGGGCCAGTGATTCAAAGGAGTATGGGTTGCAATCTGTTGTGGTCCATTGGTCCAGGCTGGGAGAGTGATCGTCTGTCGAGTTGGTTCGACCATCGATCGGATCGGTCGAAAAGGGCGGTCGAGAGCATACCCGAAAATAGTACCCAAACACTCCATGTGACTCCATGTGTGCTATATATTGCTTACATTGGGGCGGTTTGGGGGTCAAGTAGGCATATATGTGCGTCGGTCAAAAACCTCCAACTGATGTATATGTAATGAAAAGTGGAGTTATCGCTTTTGGAGGGGTCCTATCGCTTTTCCAAGTTCTAGCTACATTTACTGATCGTGCATGGATATCACTTCCATGGAACCACTGAGTGCCTGTGTATCTGTGCCATGTGCGCGGACATGTGCGTATGTGAGAAATAGAACTGGTGGGCTAATCCGTTGGCTTCTCATAACCCCTTGTCCATGCTGGGGCAGGCGAAAGGTGGCTGCTGTGACAAAACAGAAACCAAGCATGAGACAGGCAGAGCTTTGGCACCAGGGACATGACTCAAAGATGAATGGCGAGGCCTGACAGCCAAAATGGCTATGTGCCCATATCATCCCATATACACATGAAGACATGTGATGCTTTGACAAGGTTATCACTTTTGAGGGGGACCTATCGCTTTTGCAGGTTTGGGCCCACTTCCTGAAATTCACGACCACTCTTTACTAAATTGGTCATTGGACGTTTTGGCGGTTGCTCATATAGCATACATGGAGTTTCTGGGGTAGACTCTTGATAAATAACCCTGGCGCCAACTTGAATTGAACATCCTCTTCAGGCCTGGGGGGTGTATTAATCACTTCACTACAGAAGCGGGTGGTGCTGATCCAGAATGAGGCGAGGCTCAGTAGTGGAAGAGCCAACGGTTGGAATTGCAGAGGGGCGGGACGGCATCAACACAACGTTAAAAACAGCATTGACACTTCCTGGAAATCATGGAAGTGGAACGTAGGCTGGTCAGCTTTCATGATTCCTGGAGGGAGGGTAATTTAGGAAACTCCTGTCGAGTAAAGTCGGAATTCCTTCAGCACACTGCTCGAACAGATCAGACCCCCCCCGTGATAAAGGTAACTGTTAACTGTGAACTGTGTGAAACACATACGAAACTTCCCTGGCTCACACTCCGCGTGGGCACGCCGCCATATCCGCGCCGCCACTCCGCTCTCGCCGCGTGTCCTTGGCGTATTCCCGGGCGGTGGGGAGCTGCCCTTCGAGGTTGGACACAAAGCGCCCGTTGTTGGCGCCATGCCAGGTCTTCACCAATTTCCTGGGAAATTGGAAGAGGGGAGAGAAAGGGGAGCGAGCAAATGTCGAGCTCGAGATCCAGAAGTGTAGTTGTTCAATCAACTTCACACAGGACAAACAAGAAGGGACAGTCCAAATTATTCTTTCCCCAAGAGGTGGTAGCTGAAAAGGTGGAGACAGAAACCCTTCCATTGATTCCTGGAGTGTTGTACTGACGACCTGTCATATTCACAGGACAAGCAAAGATTTAATGACAACCTAAACCCACTCTAATATGAATATTGAACATTTTACCATGAATCTAAAACCTCTAGAGGTTCATAGAAACCCACCTGGACGATGAGGAGTTTCCAAGATGATATCTTCCCAGAGCCGTTTTGGGCTCAACGACTTCGACGTTTCGATCCATCGGGTGCAGCTCTCTCGACATGCGTCCACGCGCCAGAATCCACCAGGTTACAACCCTCGAAATTTGGTTGTGATGCGTGTCTTTATCCTTTCCCTTTGGAACTCCATCTGGCCGCCATCTTACTCTATGACCTTTGCGCATTGACCATACGAACGACCCGGTCGTCCATCGGTCGTGAACGCTCAAGCGACCCCTGACGGTACACGGCGAACATGGGAGAGATCTTGGCGTGGAGGACTTCCTTGGCATAGTGTTTGCAGGATTCGTTCTCATTCCCCACGATCTTCAGGAACCGTGTCTTCTCATAGATCTTGGCGAACTTCTCATACCTGAACACGTTTCGGAAAACCCCAAAGTCTGAGGGTCCATTTCCTGGTGGGCCTTGCATAAATGCATGCATGCGATATCATACGATGATGGGTGCATCTCGAAATCGAGGGACTTGAACATGCCCAAATAGAAACATGATCTGATAGATACCTGGTCGATTCTGAACCCTCATTTAGGGACACAATTTTTTTTCTAGTCGATTCTGATCTGGTCCTAATCATTCGAATTGAAATAGAAATATATAAACCATGAGAGATCCGTCCTTTCCATGCCACTTGATGCCAGGCGCCAATCACCTTTGTGAGGCTGCCAACTCTGGACTACCAAGCTCTCTCTCTCCCTCTCTCCCCCCCAAAACATGCCAACTTATACACTCCACCTCATCACATGGGCACTCCATCCCCGCATCAATTCCACCTACGCTCGCTCCCTGCACAGCACCACACCTGGGCAGAAAGGCCTTGCAGGGTCGGCACCAGGTAAAGGCCAACTTCACCACGGCGTCCTGGAGCGCAAGTCGTTGAAACAAAACGTTCTCAGCAAATATGGAAATGAAGTTGTTGTCTTTTTTCTCGATGGATTTCATGAAGCTCGTCTGTTTAGCTTTTTCTGGAACTATTATTGATGCATATATGTCCAAACCACTGTGAAAACAAATCCAAAAAATGTTATATAACATGTTCACCTGCGAACATGTTCATCCATACGGACATTATTCTGCGGTTAGGGGAACAAAGGGGAACCATCCTTGCATATTCTGAGTTTGGGCACAAAACAACATTTCGAACATTTATGTCTGGTGAGTTGCGGCCTCCAGGTGGTGCATTTTTTTCCATCAGCATATAAGCAGCCATCACTTTCACGGCTCCAAAGGTTGATATCTTCCAAAGCACGGCATAAATACCCGGGAAAATTAACATGGAACCTGAAAGTTGACCTTTGGAAGACTATCTTCCTCTACAAACCAGTGGTTTTCAGGTTCCACGTTAATCTTCCAGACTGCCAGAGTGTATATGATGTGACGGCCCCCCCATCACTATCCGTCCTCTTGGCCAATCATCGCATAAAGCTCCGCCTCACTGTGCACGGTGTTCATGTGCCCCAAGGCGCTGTCGGTTTCGCCCTCATGCTCTGAGGGCCGCTCGGGAGTCGTCTCCAGGTATCTGGCGCAGTGGTGCGGCCACGTGTGGTGCGTCGGCGTCAGGAGTGTCTTTTTCATTTGGACGGTTTGGAGGGCTCATTTGGAATGAGATGGAGTCCAAAGACATGGTTGAGGTTTATAGCAGTATGCCAAGGTTGTAGTTGTAAACCCCTATGCCAAGAATGGTAGGATAGGACCCCATCATTTAAAGCATCCCACAATTGTTTCACTGCTTTTGTGCTGGTCTCCGGCAGATTTCCCCTCATTTCGAGACAAAGCTCTAGTCTGGGTTGCCTACTATAGCGCCCCATGTTTCACACACAAACAAACAAACAGACAGGCGGACCCCCCCAAAAAAAGAACAAACAGCGTGGAAAACACTGAAACCTGATCGGATGACTCCAGCGAATCCGGACGTTCACGACTCCAGCGAATCCATAGGATTGCCCTGCATCTCTGGCTTGCTAATCTGCATATCACTTTGAAGAGTGGATGGTGCACAAACTCACTTCTCCCTTAGTACTGGTCGAGGTTGAAGGGGGGGTTCTCAATACCATATAGTTATAGTTCACCAGCTCTGTTGGATTTCTACCATTTCATTGTAGATCACTCACAGATCATCGACCAAACATACATTTTGCAACATGTTTCGCCCCAGTTCGCAACCAGCTCCCGGCACGCTTGGTGTGGAAACTTCCGCAACGCCGCTCGGCTTGGCTTCCGTTCGAACCGCGCCTGATGACCTCGGCGAGATCCAGCTGCGTTCGCGCCAGGCCCAAGAAGTCCGCGAAGTCGATACCGTCATGGTCCACGTCGGCCTGGCGAGAGGACGCGAGCGAAGGGTGCTCCTTTTTGAGGGACAAAAGACTTAAACTGAAAGTGGGGAAACCATACCAAGCATGGAAGGATTGATGGAATGATACATACTGTCGTATTTTAAGTGAACCAACATGTGAACCAAGGAACAAACCAGTTGGCGTACTGCATCACATAAGATTCTGTTCATCTGCTTTCATGTGTAAATGCAAATATGTTCGGATATATATATATATATATGTGAATATATGTGGCCATAGTACGCCATATAGTATATAGACGTATATAGTTGCTAGAAATCTTAGTTTGTGGACATTGACCACTTGGGACTCTCATCTTGCCATTGAAGTTAGCCAAGGGCCCCCAGGGTCCGGGGTCCTCTACAAATCTGGAGAACTTATAGGTGATCTTCTCTGTTGAAGTGGATAGTAAAGAAACACTACTGATCCTAGGGTTCAGCTCGGAAATTCTCACTACTTTCATGCTCCCACCGTCCTCCCGGTGTGACCGCAGTCATGCGCCGGTCTCCTCGTCCACGAGTCGGGTGAGCTCCTCGCTACTCAGCGACTTCCCCAGACCCTCGAAGAGCCGTCCTGCCGCGGACGGCGCTTCGGTGCGAAGACGATGGGCCGTCGGCCGAAGCCAATGGCCGGGGAGAAAAGGAGGAGGGATGGAGGAATGACGGTGGCGACGGTGGCCACGGTGAACGCATGAGGTGGATGTCCGAGATCAAAAGCGTCTTAAGAAAGTATTTCACCATATATTGCTGAGATGGAAAAAAGAACATCAGCCAACTGTGCAATGAAAGGTGACAAGCCCTAAACGTGGGATCTAAAGAATAGTTTTGCATGGTGTGACAGCGATGTGCTCCCTAGGGCTCCAACCATATCCTGACAAAGCAATTAGATCGGACCTTCCAAAAAACCTCCATCCACCGATTTGGAGCCCCTTAACTAGCCCCTTGATGTATACATTATTAGATTTATACAATGATAGTAGTTGAATGGTCGAGTCATATATATATAATAGACTATACTTTATAATATAGTTACATCTATACAGTATACAGTCTATACGTTGCCTCCACCTGTGACCCGCATCCATGTCCGTTCTGCAATATTCTGCAATTGATCGGCCCTGTGTCTGGCAACTTTGCCTGTAGCTACTGTAGCTCCTATTCCAGAGTTAAATTCACCAATTTCCAATGCTACAAAATTGTCCCCTCCCGAACACAATGATTGTAGACCTGGCCCGCACCCTGTTGCACGCTGAATGTCAAAATCTGTCACTCTTCCAGTGCACCCCCAGAGATCAAGCAAAGCCAAGAACAAGAACAAATGCAATTACAGATTGGGTTGCTATCGTGTGTCACAGTCCCACCTGACATATTACATTGCACTTAAGAAGCAGTTCTTTCCAAATCAGGACATGGCAAACCACAAACAAGCCCCGCCGTATCCACCCCGCGGTCCTAAAGCTTCCTTGGAAATCACTCCCTTCTCTTCGGTATCTACGCCAGTGAAGGCCTTCTCATATTCTTCGATCTTGCCTTCTAACAAGAAGCCATCCTCAGCTCAATGCCAAAGCCAACACCCCAGCGGCGAATCGGCAGCTTCTTCACTTCGCACGCCAGAAACATGGGGAGGTGGGCCAATGACCCACCCGGTACAGGGATGCATGGTTGCACTTATCAGGGGCATCAGGGGCATCACAGTCCAAGCAAAACGCATCGGTGCGCGACGTCAGCGGCATCAGTCAGTTTGCTCGAGTGAGGCCACTTGACACTTATGAAGGGTTGTGCTATGGTGCCTCTGGAGTGAACATTCACAGCTGCCCTGCAAAAAAATGGCGTTTCCAAGACCAACCACCTGAAAACTTGGAGGATTCATGAGGACGGCGCCAATGTGTGGTTTTCCACCCTAGGTCCGGCCATGGCTCATGCGCCAAACGCCCGAACTCCTTGAGGCCAATGCCATCGCTGGTGGCATACTGCTCATAGATCCGATCCAAGGTGCTCTCAGCTAACCAATGCTTCGACAAACAAAAACTCTCCGTGCATTCCTGGCCAGGGTGTGTCACACAGTGCCCGTCACACAGTGTTACCAGCGTCCAAAGTGTGATGGGGTGCTGTAGCATGGGTTGGTTCACCTAAGTAGCAGAACATGGTCCCCTCTTGTCACCGTAATGCCTTCGCCACTGAATGCATGCATTGCCGTGCATTGCACCATGGACAACAAATTTTAGTCAATGTCTAGTCTAGTCTTTTCCTTTTCTCAAGTGGCCCAAGTATATACATTGAAAACAATCGTTCACCTCAAACCACATTTTCAGCAGGGCTTCCCCAATCCCATTCAATCCAACCCCCTCGAAGATGGTGGGTCCTGGCATGTCTAGATCTAGGAAGAAAGCATCGGCCTCAATCGGTCCACCAACGTGCTGTATGTGCTATGATGGCAGAAGAAAAACACACCCACTGACCAGCAGAAGAAACATGTACAAAACAAGGGGCCCGGCCAAAGTGGAACCTTTTCTTTGTCCATCATTGTCCCCTCCTGTGCCACTGACGTTCTCCTCTGTCCTCCTCCCAAATCCCATTTCCCATTAAATTAGCCTATTTCTGTGTCAACCCCGCCTCCAAAACAAACAAAATAACACTACTAGTAGCAAGAAGCTACTATAGTAACATGTGCATCGCTGCTAGCTCGGTGCTTGGGCCACTTCTTCCCAAGGCTCCAGGACGCTGCGCAGGTTCTCCCGCTTCAGCCGCATCTCTGCGCCCTCGCCCTCCGCATAGGACTCGAAGCGGCTCTTCAGCTTTTCGCTCACCTCACGCGACTGGTCAGGGGAAAAATGGACGATGGGTGGGAAGGAGGCACCTGAAACAGCACCGTCGTGCTCCAGCACGACGGAAGAGCTCCCAAAAGGGTGCTCCTGGTGCAGCTTTGTTTCAACCCCAAAATGTCCCAAAATCATTAAAGGTCGACTTAGAAGTGAAGTGTTTTGATGCAAAGCACTCACGGCGTTGACGAGTTGACACCTCGAAAACACGAGTTGCAGATTGCAAATCTTCCGAAGATTGTGCCGTCAAAAGAAACAGCGAAACAGAAAATGGATTGTTCGGGCGCGAGGGCAAACTGTGATGATCTGTTCAGTTCCAAAAATGAGTCCTGGCTTCTAAGAACTTCACAAGCTGCGGTGTTTTACAAGGCTCACACTCTGTGAGCGTGCCTGCATGGCTGCATGATCAGATCTGATCTGCTCCTTATATACTTCCATCATAACCTCCAAATGCACAACTTCCGTGATACATCATAATAAGGCAAAGGTTACGATGTCCAGAGCAAAATTACATGCACAAAAACTACCTTGTGACATTCTACAGTCTTCTGCAAGTGGATGAAATACAGGGCACCATCCATATAAACAAAGGCAACAAGGAAATGGTCAAATATATCACATCTGTGGTTTGCATACTCGACAATGTGTATGCAATGACGTGTTGCTCCTCCACCCAATTTCCTCAGCAATTCCCTTTACAGTGCGTAGTGTTATGATTTGTAATGTGTATTCTTGTGACGGCGATTGCTTATGACCTCCAGGACCTCCAGGGTTCAGAGTCACTGTCGCAGCCCACACATGGCTTGTTCAAGTCACTCCCCTGATTGGCCCAAATATGGAATCGGTTTCCTATTCGCATGCTATAGGAACCAAATGCATCCAAATGCTTCATCCAAGTCTATGCAAAAAATGTGTGTGCGCCCAGCTAATTGTCATTTCTCTCAATAATCTTGCCTCAAAAGCGTTACCATCTCCGCCCAGCTCCAAACGCGCCCAGCTCCAATCGCGAAACCACCGCGCCTGCTCCTGCCCGAAAGGCCAAAAATGCCGCACACACCGGTCCAAGCGACGCCCGGCGCGCGACCCGCGCGTCCGGGTGCCGAGCGCACCCGCCATGCTGAAGGCCACAGGCCCCAGTGCGCCAAACAGTGCGAGCGCGAGCAGCGTGCGCAGAACGCGGCATCGGTTCCGCGGCATCATGGGAAAAAGCCGCGGTTCGGTGTGACGCTGTCTTTTCTCTATTGTTTTTGTGCATTTTTTTCTCTTCCAGAGTGAATGGAATCTTGGGCTATGTGCATGTACCGCTTTCATGAGCTTTCGACTTGCAAAGCTCAGAGTAGTGAAGTTGGTTGGCTTTGGTGCAAAGCAGCATCTGACAGAAAGCAAGTGCTGGAGAACCAAAGCGGCAGGTTGATCTCAAACGTCCTACCTTAACTCCTCAATTGATGTAAAACCTCATCTACGGTGTGCACGTGCATGAGCCAAGTTCAAGCCTGAGACATATTTAATTGTAGAATTTCCCACCACAAAAGCAAACAAAAATTAAACAGTTGCATGTTTCCCTCTCTCTCTCATCTCATGTTGGAGGAAACATGAACAACAACCGACAGGACATGCATGATCTGGTCAGCGACAGGAAAGCGCGACAGGACCGTGGAGCACATCCGATGCCCTTGACGCCTGTAAAGCACTCAGCGTCACACATAGCCTTTCCATCCTCAATCCGGCTGGATCCTGCGCGGGTTGGATCCAAGTGCCACTGTAAGGATGGTCCTCTGGTTAAAAGCACTGACAAACTATAGCTGCATTGATCCAGGCTTCTCTTTCTGGCATCCAGGTGGACTGGACCAATTAACTTCATTGGCTCAGGCTCCTGTTTGTGGTGCGACCAGACCTACTGTTGCAGTATATAACCCAAACACTTCATACATGACATATTTGCATACATTGGGGTGGATTGGGGGATCGATGTAGGCACATATGACTGGGTAATATATTGGTTTACTTATATATTGGTTAACTTATTGGGCTCAGCAGCTCTCCGTTGCTTTCAGTGTAAAAACTGCTCAGTTCTATATCATTAGTTCTATTCTATCACATCTAATTATTGCGGCGATGATCTTCTTTGCCTTTGATTGTTTGATCAATGGTTTCATTCCGTTCTTTTTCGGCGTTCTGGTGCTGTCTTCCGTGAAGTCGTTCTGCTCGGCGGCTCACAGCCACGCGAAACGGACAAAGGAAGTGCCCGACAAGCCACACGACAGCAAAACAGGTTCCTTTGTTGATGGCTTGGATGGAGAAGTTTGCGACATGATCCAATTCGGTGGTCAATTTGAGTGAACTGATATGAACCAGCTTGAAGATCCCTTCGGTGGGTGTGGACAGCATGTGCACCCTTGATCGTGATCCTTTACATTCCACGATCTGTCATCTGTCTGTCTCTCTCTATCTCTATCTCTCTCTCTCTCTCTCCCTTTCTCGCGGACATGACGATGCCAGAGTCATGAGACCAATCACCCTTCCCTGGCACTTTCCCTGGCCCCCAGAACCTCACAATCACGTGGCACGTGGCACGGTGCATCATCTTGACATGTCAGGCCTGTGCATCCGCTGCTGCACTTTTGTAGCGCCAAGTCATTGCTCCTGGCCTCCCATCCCGAAACAAGAGCGGAAGGATGATGCGACAAAAGCATCAGTCCCGAAGCCAAAGGGCCCATGTTTGGAAGGGCCTCGCCAACAAAACTGCGCTCAAGCCGCTGCTGATACCCTGGGCTGTGAGCGACCCATTGACCCATTCGATATCCATTCCGTTCGACATCTAGATTTCGCTTCGCTTCCGGACCGCTTTGCTGGACACACGGCCTCTGCCCATGTCCGGCTGCATTGGTTGGAGGCCAAGCCCTTGATGAGTTGCACACTCGGCCTATGAGGGGTGCACCATCTCAAACGCAAACCATGGGGAACCTTTGAAGCCCCCGCTACACACACATACCAAACAAACAAGCACTATTCTTACCCTTTTGTTGAACGTTTGGGATCTTTCGGCCCAGGCTGAATTTTACATTGATTTCAATACAATGGCACAACCCCCATGTCTGTTTCATTGACTAAAGATCTTAGTATATGTGTGCTATATGTATATATAGTATACAATATAAATGTGCTGATAATATATACTTGTTTACTCATATATGATATGCACTACACTGTTCCCCCCACCTCTGGACCCTAACAGCGCTTTTTCAGCCGGGGTCAAAGTGCTATGAGAAAGATCTTCCTGTCATCGTTGTCATCAAGGAACAGGTGTTCAAATGCGGTCCTGAGGTCCTGGAAAACAACAGGATAGGAAAAACACAGAAAACATACCTCAATATTATATATATATATAGTAATATATATATATACTATATACATCACCCGGGTTTGCAGAAAGTCACCCGGCCGCATGGAAACGCAGCATTAGTCAAAAGTCACCCGGCTCGCGAAAAGTCACCCGGTTTATGTTAAAACACAATGTAAACGCTCTACGGAAGCATGTTTGTCAAAACTGCTATACATCAAGAATTCACTGCCCCTGTGCAGGAAAGAACTAGTTTGATGTCGAAGTTTGCAGCGTTTTGGTGACCAAACCCCAATCAGAACGCAAGGTTAGGACTATGGTGAAGATTACCTCCTAAACATAGATGCAGCATGCTGCCCTGCTTGCTTTGCTCTTCAAGAGCTGTGCATTAATGACCTTCATGTGGAAAAGATCACTAAAGGAAACATGGTGAGGCTGGCGCGAGTGCCACGCGAGTCTTTTCGACCCTGTCGCGAGTGCCGCGCGAGTCCCATGCAACCATGTACCCACGCCCCATGTACTCACGCCCCATGTACCTAATGGTGTTGAACTGACGCTCCAAAGCTTATCTTCCAATGAGGGTGACATCTTGCATCTAACCCCAATGGAAACGCAGCATCCAAACAATGTTG